AAAAAAAAAAAAAAAACCAAATTATTTATAAAATATTATAAATCATATGTTTAACATACAAATGAAAATATTATATTTATACTTATTTTTTCTAATATCATAACTAATATGTCTAACAAGGTAATGAAATTTTCAAAAATTAACTGAAATAAATATTTAATAACACTAATTTATATTCACTAGCATAAAAACTTTAAAAATATATTCAAAAAACAACACATTTATTAAATACATATTCAGGTAAAAGTAACACATGTTTTATAACTATCTTTAATTATAATTAATTTGATTCAGTTAAATGTCCCAAGACTAATGAAATATAAGAAAACAATAAGTTATGTTATAAGAAAAATTAATTATTCAAAATAATATCTGAAAACACATTTCTACACTCTCTGAAAGTGGTGTCTGAAACCTTTTTTTTTCAACTCAAATTTACTGCTACCAACTCTTGTCACATTGTTTTCTCATATGTTTATGTTATCTCTATTCTCCAATCATTATGCTATTAATTGACATTAATTTGATTGGAGGTGAAATATATGTGAAAGGTGTATAATAATTTTATTATTTGTTCTTATTGGGCTACAATTTGAAAAATTCACATTGTCATCTGTCTGTCCATCTTTTCTTAATCTTGAGAACAGTGTTAGATAAATGTCAGAATAGGACAGAGTCAATAAATAAAATTCAAGACCAGATATGGAAATTCAGTTAACCCTGATTAACTATGTATGAACTTCTGATGCAAACTGGAAGTCGTCATTTCAATTCAAAATTTCCTCTGAAAGGAGCAAGATAGATGACTGGCACAACTCCATTGTTAACAGAAAAGTATGCAAAATACAGTACTAATTTGAAGTGAAGAGCATATATTTTAAATGAAATAAATTAAAAATATGATTAAAAATTTCAGCCCAGCATTCTGATGAAGTCACAATAAATTGTTCATTTGTTTTATACAATATTTTACTAGTAAGAATTTTTTGTTATTATATCTAACTTATTTTTATATAAGAATTATTAGCTATTGTAACATATACATATGATAAAGTTAGAATATCATTAAATAATTTAAAAAACAATATTAGTATTAATTGTTTGTGTGTGTATATGTATATAACAGAATCATATTTATTTGCACACATAATGGGAGGAAGACATAATTAACAGGTAATTTTGAGGAACAAAACATGCAGAAATTAGTATCCAGAGCAGTAATCTGGTTGGGCATCGAGCCGAACAGAGTTTGGATGCCAGTTTCAACTCTATGCCTGTCCTGGCTGGCAAGCGATGGTATGCCAGTTTCTCGGCAACCACTAACCTGACATTCTCAATTGGTGACAGATCTAGAGAATGTGCTAGCCAGGGCAACAGTTGAACACCTGTGTTCAGAAAAGTCAGAACAGCATGTGCATTGTCCTGTTGAAAAATAGCATGACGGAGACTTCAAAGACAGGGTACGTCAACAGGCCTTAACACATCAGAAATGTAATGGTGGCTGTCCAAATTAATGACTATGCAAACAAGAGGTGACCAGGATGTGTACTGAATGGCACCCCATACCATCATTCCATGTGCTAGGCCCACAAGACAATGATGAATGCAAACTGGCAATGATTGTTCCCTTTAGTGTTTTCACACAGACATGGCCATCATAATGCCATACGCAGAACTGAGCTTTGTATGAAAAGATGATGTGACGCCACTCCTGCAACCATATTCGTCATTGAATGCACCATTGTAGGCACATCTGTCTCTGCTGCAGCATCAAGGGAAGCTGCAGCAATGGTCGCTATGCCAATAATCTGTAGTGCTGCAGACATCATCACACTGTCTGTGCAGACACTTGTTGTTCTGAAAATGACAAGTTCCTTACTCAGGGTATGTAATGTGGCTGTAATCCTGAAAGGCCACACGGAAAAGATTTCTGTCATCTCAGGTGTTACTGACCAGGGGATACTGAGATCCCTCATAGCATTCTGTATGGCCCTCCCAGACCAATAGATTCCATATTCTCATGACAGTCATGGGATCATAACCAATGTAAGCAGCAATAACATGGAACAATAAACTGCAGTCCTTGTAGGCTATGCGTTAACCACAATTAAACTCTGACACATACTGGTATACATTCCTCCGCCTTACATGAGGCATAACAAAACCTTTACACAAGCAACCAACATGTGAATGTGATTTCCATATGAGAAACCAAATTTACCATATTCCCCTTTATACAGAATGTAGGTGGCCTTACTCCTACCTGCTTTGTATGCATTGAAATGCTAATTATTTGCATATCCCAACATGTACCTTTCATGCAAATTTTATGTTTGTTGTGTGCCATCTTTGTGGTGTAGCAATTTTAATGGCTAGCAATGTATATAATTTTGATATTGTCATTTAAGATATTAATTTATTGACTATCATTAACTTAATCACCAAACATATGCCGTAAATCCATCGGGCTAGTTTTAAGGCTAATTACTAAATAAATTACGTAATTAATTTGGCACTAGAGGTAAGCGTTAGGCGCCATCTCTTATTAATATTAATAATTATAAATAAATTAATTAATTTAAATAATTTAGAACCGCTGGGAGAAAAAAAATTAGTGCCAAATTAATTACGTAATTTATTTAGTAATTAGCCTTAAAACTAGCCCGATGGATTTACGGCATATGTTTGGTGATTAGCTATATTACATCGGGTTTAGCGATGATTATATATATTACGCCTTGCCGGGGCTTGCGATGGCCGGTTGAGTGCCTTATAGGAGTAGGACGTGGGCACTGAATGTGTCCCCAGCCGGCATTGTAATAACCGTCGATGGTTACATAGTTATACGCTGGAAGAGGAGATCGGATCGGAGGTCCGGATAGCGTAACTGGCAACGCATCTGCACGGTAAGCAGGAGTTGTGGGTTCGAGTCCCGCTCCGGGCCGATTTTTTCTCCCAGCGGTTCTAAATTATTTAAATTAATTAATTTATTTATAATTATTAATATTAATAAGAGATGGCGCCTAACGCTTACCTCTAGTGCCAAATTAATTACGTAATTTATTTAGTAATTAGCCTTAAAACTAGCCCGATGGATTTACGGCATATGTTTGGTGATTAGCTATATTACATCGGGTTTAGCGATGATTATATATCATTAACTTATATTACACAATGATGACTAATTCTGACTTTGCAAAATACAGAACACAAAACACTCTCTCTGTTGCAGAGTCACCATTTTTTGTTTATGGTGCTTCCTAGAGGCAACAGACAAGATGATGTTTGTATACAGATGGTAGATGGAACACTCAGACATTTACTCTATTAATTGATGCATTGCATTGCATGCCTCTCATAATTAATGTAATTACAGTAATTTGAAATTGTAATATTCTTTTTGGAAGACCTTGTATATTATCTTCTAACAACTACTGTATATATATTAATTTAAATTAACTTGTGCAAGATCATATCACTATTTGTATATATGATTCTTTTCCTCATACTAGATATGGTATTAAAAAAATTAAATTAACAATAAATAAAAAAATACAGGTATCTCTCATACAACACAGTTTCGCTCTAAAACAGTTCAAGAATTTGGAATTCCATACGAAATATGACAATTTTTAAGTAAAAAGTTTGTTATTTGATATTTTTTTTATTCAAGAAATCATGTGTGTTGTCTCAAATTTGCCCATGGATTTCAGAATATTGAAATTTTCAATTTATTTTGTGCCTTTCATCAGGTTTACTTTAATGAAAACTGATAGGACAAGGAAGAAAAATTGCACTATTGACCAGGTGTTCTTGTCATTGCTTTCAGATCTTAACCTTTATGACTGTCACTATGGTTTGTTTTTATAGATTAATCTTTGCATTTAGTAAAGTTTATTTAAACATGTTTAGATAAGTATTATTAAATTTGTTTTTAACCATAGGTAGTAATCATCCATAAAAATAATGAATGAAATACAGCAGTATCTCAGTACTTGAACAATTTGGTATTCAAAAACAAATTCCAGGGGCATCACTTAGTATTCGACTGAACAAACACAACTCATTAACACAAATTTTTATTTTGTCATGCAAAAACATTTTTTATGATAAAAATAAAAAAATGAAGACATTGCTGATATTTCTGATTAAGAACAAAAAAAAAGCTCAGATGATAATGATACTTTGTAAAAAAAATGCTCTCATTTAACTAAAATTTATATTAATGCTTAATATAGTACTTTAAATTCTGATCATTAGTTAATTATTGATTGCTTTAATAAACATATTTCTCTTAGTAACAAAACACAATAGTATACTTTTGTTACGTTTTGGAACTTAACCCTATGTTTTGCATTAATCCTTTGTTTTGTATAGCATGGATTTGCACAACACAACACATTTTCAAAATTTAACTACAGTGTTATATGTGGGATACCTGTACTTTGTAATTGAAATTTTTTATGTTTTTCAAATTAATGATATTATAATATGCACGTTACCTGGAGAAAGACTTTCTGAGCATTTAGGTGAGATTCCAGGAGATTGCTTTTTATTATAAGATAGTGTCAACGTTGAAAATACTTCCAAATCAACTCCAAACAACTGTTCGGAGAAAGCAGGATGTGGAGAAGGGGCTCTTTCACATAGATTTGAATGATAAACATTTGGTGTTAAAAAATATCCATAATCATTTGGAATTGGTAAAGATGAAGGATATTTTTCAGGATTTATTTGATTTGTTTGTAAGGAACCTTTTGGTGAGCTTCCTGGGCTTTTCCTGCAATAAAAACAGAAAAATATTATTATTATTTTATTTCTTTTAGTATCTCAAATACATTTTTATGTTCAAATATATAATATTACCTTGCTACTGGTATATTTGATAGTTTACTATTATTTTGAGATGAACTTTCTATAATTGGCAAATTATTTTCTTTGGTTTTAGTTATTCCTTTTTTTTCTTCTGCTTTTTGAGATTCTACTTTGCTACTTTGCATTTTAGATTTTCTCTGTTGTTGACTGTTTCTTGACTGTATAGATGCACCTATATTAAAAATTTTGGAATTATTTGAATTAACAATTTCATTACATATCAATTTTCTTGAAAAACTAAAATAAAAAATAAATCTACAATTATTATTTTTTGAATGGAATTTACTTTTGTAAAAAAAAAAAAAAATAAATTGGATCTTCATTTCTAATTTCTCTATTTCTAAAAATTCAAGTTTTCTAATAAATAATTATAGTTTATATACCTTTATTTGAACTAGAAGAGTTTGTTGGACAATTTGTTGGACTTTTAAGTACATTTTTCTGAGAATATTTATTGGAATACTGTTTAGGAAAAGTACCACCTAAAAAACATTAACCTTTCAAACAAATAATCTTTGATTTTCATTAAATTACTTATTGGGAAAAATAAAACATACTTTTTCGAACTGGTATTTTAGCATGCCTTTGAAGACTTCGTGTTGATTGAGATTTTTTTAGTTTTCCTTCTGACGGCTGTTTCTTTTGGAACTCCTTATGAAAAATTAAATATAAATGAATAATTTTCATATACACAATTAAACTGAAATTTCTACAAAGTATTTTTTTAAATATTCAAGAATAGCAACAAAAATAAGATAACTTTGCATATGAAGCCAACAATGTAAATTATTGTGGGAACCTGAACTAAATAAAGAAAAGATACTTTAAAATTAAAAAAAAAAAAACACCAAAATCTAGCTAGTAAACGATCTAGAGAGTTTCCCCTTTCACTTTCTCAGTGTCAGGAATGACATCTTTTCCACAAACTTTTGGCCCCCCCTGATACATGCTATTGTTTTAATATACTAACAAATGGCTGATTCAGGTAGTCATTGCCCATTCCTCCAATGGTCTAGTTGTGCCTGGATCTCACCTACTTCACTAACAGATACTTTGCTTATGGATACTCCTCATGCATTTCAAGGACGAACTAGTGTCAAGAATGTTCTCTAACCAATCCAGTCAACAAGCATCAGATCTCCCTAGAAACTCCCCTACAAGGTATTTAACAACTCACAGTTTATTGTGAACTCTCTCTCTTGCATTCAAGACTTCTAAAACACTAACGACTCATTATAATTGTCAGTGTAAAGTCTATGTGCTAATAAACAGATATTTGTTTTGTTTAACTTGTATCCAAGTGTTTTTCTTCTGCCATGCTGTCTCTTAGACCTCCTCCATCCCAAATCTGACCACCTACTCATGCAAACACTTGCTTGACCTAATACAAACATAAACATCTCTCGTGGTCATGCAGCATCTTCCATCCTGATGTAGTCATTGACGACACAATGTTGACCCTTAAGTCAAGTGGTGCAAAAGTATAGGGAGCTTTGCACATTATCACATTATGATGCAAGTTGTTTAAGTTAGTAATATTAAAAAGAAGTCATTGATGCCAATTTTTTGAAAAAAGAATTTTATATTGCATCAAATTCCTTTGTTGTTAATTTTTATATTATTTATTTTATTTCTAATATTATCTTTTGTAGATTCATTGTAAATTTTTTTTTTACTTGTACAAACAAGGAGTGTCCAAAAAATAAAAACTGTTTGGCTACAAAAAAGGAAAAAAACAGTAATGATAGGAAAAAGTTTTATTAAGTAATTAGTACATAGGCTGTTTCTTTTTCAACCTCCAAGGTCCATAAAACAAAGACAAATGTAAATAACGAAATGAATGTATTATCAAAAGTTAGGTACAAAATGGTTACTTTTCAACATAATCACTGTGAAGATTGAGGCATTTGTCTATCTGTGGAGGAGTTTGAAATCCCCTCTTCATAGAATGTTCTGCCAGTGACTTGAGATGGGCCTTAATGATGTTTTGAAGTTCATCATCAGTCTTAAACCTTTGCCCTTCTAGCCATGTTTTCAGTTCAGGAAAGAGGTGGAAGTCTTCACACATTAAAAAGTCCAAGCTAGATGAAAGTCTTAAAGGTGGAATTCTTCACCACCTTTGAACACCCAGCATATAGCCCTGATTTAACACTGGGTGATTTCCATCTCTTTCCTGAACTGAAAACATGGTTAGGAGGGCAGAGGTTCAAGACTAATAATGATCATCAAAACAATAAATACAGACTGTTTTGGTTAACCTGGACTAAGTGAAGTTTTGATATACACTGAAGCAACAAAGAAACTGAGAAACCTGTCTAATGTCTGGTAGGTCCATGTTGAAACCTTAGAACTTTAGAAATATGACAGGGCATGGATTCCATGGCGTTCTGAGGAAGTCTCTTGAGAAAGAACACCATCCCTCCTGAAAAGCAGTCTGCAAATTTTATAATATTCATAGGTTGTGGATCTCTGCTTTGAATGGAATAGTGCATGGTATCACAGATATTCTTGATAATGTTCATATCTCATGAACAAGGGGCCAATTAATGACTGCAAACTCAGATGTTCTTCAAACCTTAATTTGGTGGCTGAAGATCTATGCTGGTGCATTATCTTGTTGAAAGATGCCATACCCATCAGAATGACCATGTGACTTAAATGGGTGTAACACATCTGAAAGGATGTTAACACACTGTTCATTAGTCAGAGACCTTTGTAGCTGTTTAAAAGGTCCTAATTTGTGCCAACTGAACATACCCCATATTATTACTGAGCCAACACCAGCCTGTACTGTTTCTTTGTTGGCATGTTGGATTCATTGATTCATGGCATTTTCTCCATATGTTTCCAAATCAGTTGGAAACATGATTTGTCAGATCAGGCTATTTATTTCTAGTCTTCCAGTGGCAGTGGTCCTGAACCCAGATGAGGCACAGAGCTCTCTGTCATGAGGTAAGAAATGGCACTCAGGTTGGGTGTTAACTATTAACCTATTCAATGTTAAATTTTTTATTTGTTGCCTGTGACGCCATGTTGAATTTTCGTTGATGTTAAGCCAAAATTTTTTTTTTAAAAATAAAAATCGTGTTTACTATATCATTAAAAATTATTTTTTTATGTTTCACAAACAAAATATATATATTGAATAATATAAAAACAAAAAAAAATTTTATTTTAAAAGTTCATTTTAATATAAAAATTGACACAAAACGACATCTAGTATCAAAAACGTTTCAATGTAAACACGGAAATATTCAGGATCGCCCACACAGGTCAATGAGGTCAACCCGAAAATTTCCGGGATCAACATAGGACAGGTTAAAGCCCTTATCATGCAGGAACATTGTACAATCCTTACACTGATGTCCAGCATTAAGCTACAATGTTATTTGTGCCAGTGTTGCTTGCTTATCACTTGAAATGATTCTCAACAGAATGCAGGTCATGATGATTGAGACTCTTTTGATGTCAAACAGTTTTCATAAGTTTGATATTTTATTGGAATTTTTGTATTCAAGATACAACCTTGAAATGGTTGAACATGAAAATCCAAACTTTTTTCTATTAACATCTCAAGTCATTGGTGGCAAGAGGGGATTTCAAAGCTTGTCCACAGATAGACAAATGCCTCAATCTTCACAATGATTATGTTGAAAAGTAACCATGTTTGTACCTAACTTTTGATAATAAATTCATTATGTTATTTACATTTGTCTTTGTTTTATGGACCATCGGAGGTTAAAAAAGAAACAGCCCTCGTATAAGACCAGTTACTTTTCTATCTAGTCAACATTTTGATTAAAGCACTTGTCATAGTGCAACACTGGTTTTTGGATTCCTTTGTCATAGACTTCCACCACCAGTTCCTTTGGCCAGTTAGTGACAGCTTTCACCTATCCATTCCATCATTTCACTTCATCCATTCCAAATCATTTCAAATTGACCTAAAAATTCTTTCAGCTTGAGAAAGAGGTAAAAGTTACTGGGGGCCAAGTCGGGACTGTATGATGGGTGTCGAAAACATCCTAGCCAAATTTCCGAAGCAGAGATTGAGTGGATGCAATGGAGAGCTATCGTGCATTATCTTCCTTCATTACACATTAAACACCATTTTCTCACACTTGCTTTGTTCATAATGTGATTGTCATACACTACCATGATTTGTTTATGAATTTCCATAGGGCAGACTTTCTTTGCATTTAGAAAACAAATAACACCTTGCAATTGGCTTTTCGATTTTTGTACAGATTTTAACCATTCACAAAACAGTAACAATAAGCCTGCTGTTATAGAAACACATCCAACTACAATTTAACCCAGAATAAAACAAAAATTTAATATTTTCAACCTTATTCAAAGGCCATCATCAGGTTCTAAAGATGAACATAACCTGGAATGTTGTATTTACCTTTCCATCATATCCAGTTTGTATTTAATAATTTTATATTTTAACACTACACATGTGATCTTACAACTTATCTATCCAATTACTTTGAATTTATGTTCCATTTTTAGAAACTGAAGAAAACCTTTGGATAAGGTTGAAAACATTATTAAATTTTTGTTCTCTACTGGATTGAGATGTAGTTTGGTGTTTTTATTATCATCATTATCAAGTATTTAAAGTGTAGCTTCTTTAAACTGTTATAATGCTTAAAGTTTTTATAATTTTAACTCATACTTGAAAAAGTTGTAATAAACTCACTCTTTCTAATAATTGTCTTTCTTCTTCTTCTTTTTGAATATCTTCTAAATCTATTTCTGATTCAGCACATGAAGTTCTTGTAGAACTCTGTTGAATAATAATATTAATTAATTTTGCATAAATAAAATAAGACAAATAATTATAAAAAGTTATTTATTTAGTGTTTTAAAAATGTTATTATATGGAATAAATTTTTAAACTATAAAAAATTTAATTTATATTAAAAACAGATTTAAAAAACAAGTTAACATCTAGCCAAACTAAATATACAGTATTAGTAAAAATGTGAGGCCCCGGAAATAGCCCCCCACAAAAGGGAAAGATATAAGAAGAAAAAAAAAAGTTTGTTAAGTTAAATCGTCAAGAAAGCAAATTATATCAGTATTGAATCAGCGATACCGGACTTTGACGTCAGAACTCAAAGAATAACGGAAAAAACAAAATTTTAGATATAAAAGAAGAAAATTTAAAATATTAAAGTTAACACAGTCTAGAAAGCAAAACGAAACTAGAAGAAAAAAATATATATATCAAAAAGCATAGGTGTCATAATCAACAATTAAACACGATCAGATTCGAAAAGATGGTGTCGGATAAACCATCTCCAGCCGACCTTTCCCACGAGCTTTACGAAGCTCAATTTACACCTGGAGACAGGTGGATGACCAATTGGAAAACAGTGATGTAAGATTTATCCAATTAGTAAGAAGCCAATCGCAAAAACCCTATAAAAGCATCAATTCCAAGGACAACAGGACTTCCACTAAGACTTCCACCAAGACTCCCACCTAGACTTCTGTTGTGTTTGTATATCTCCGCTCATTTTTGTACGTCTGTTCTTCTTTTTGTGCACCGACTTTAGAGACTTTGAACTTTTTTTATTCAACACTGTCAAAGGGGCCCCTACGACGCTGGACAAGATTGCCGCCGCAATTACCGACGACGCAAGACCGGTACCAGAATCGAAATTTCCCAACAACACAGGAATTTGTCAACGAGAGACTTTATGTAAGCATTATCGTCCTGAATAAACGGTTTACCTTTGTAAACACTTGTCTTTGCTGCCTTTAAAAACCGCCACCCACATACGCGTAGACCTTAGACCATCCCGACGGTAGGGAATAAAAATCTCCCCCCAATCGCCGTTCTTACAAAAATAATAATATTGCATAAAAAAAGAAAGATAACAGGAACATTTTATAAGCACTACAATAATTAGAGAAATTATACATAAAACAAATGAACATATAGTATTAATGTTTGTCTTTATTATTTTATTTTTTTATAAAATTATGAAAATAAACACTAAAAATTACAAAAATGGGTTGATGTCAAAAGAATAATATATTTGAACAGTGTCAATGAGAAGCCTCTACTAAAATGAAGAGATATACAAAATTTATGTGTTTACAAATGTAAGAATAGTAGAGCAGAGCAAATAACATGATAAATAAAAATTACACACACATTATCAGAGGTTTGGAGAGTTATGATTGACAGAAGGAAGGAGGAAAAAAAAGGTTTTAAGTATTAAATGAAGTTAGATGCTAAGAAAAGTATAAGAGTAGTAAACCACAAATAACAATTAATACAGTGAAATTTAGACATAAGCAATCTATATGTAGTTCAAAACTTTAAATTTGGATTAGCCTCTTTAGCCTAATTCAAATTTACTTTCAAACAAGGAAAAGGAATTTACAATTTTTCATGTTTTAAAGAAATTCAAAAATTTTTGTAGTTAAATATCTGTGCAGTATATCATTGATGATGGAAGGAAAGATCTCTGGAAAATATTGAAGAGAATAAACATATGGACCTTGAGTAAAATTTGGGTTTTTTTGTGTGTGGAATTGAAAGTAAAAATACCATGAACTGTTTTCCTTGTTTCAAAAAGTAAAAGTTTCATCATACATAATTAAATACCATATTTTTGCAGATTGACTGGCCTGCTGCACATAACCAGGGGAGACCAGAATGCCAGAAACCCCAGGGATACTGGCAAGCCAGTTAAACTGCAACTAAAAATAAAATCAATCAGATCTAACAAAACTAGTCGTTAAATAAATGTTAAAGAGAACATTCTTCCGAGTACAATGAATTAACAACATTGTAATTTTACCCACTTAAAATCAGTAAGAAAGTTTTCATTTGCAACACAATAAAACAACTAGTGGCTTGTTAACATTAGTTGTTGTAGTAGTTACTCAGTGTGAGCTGCACTGACAATCTACCCTGATCTTAAAAATAACACCTTCCTCTCAAATTTCATACAAAGAGTATGTTAATCAGGTAAGTTGAAATAATATACCTCAATTTTCTAAAATTTGATTTGTTTATTTTTGCATCAAATAGCTTTAAAATAAAAACTTGTTCATTTTTTACATGCTCTCTAGAGAGGAATGTATAACCTCACTTAAACCAGTATGCCAGCATTCTCCTAGGATAAACAGACATGCCAGACAATCTGCAAAAATACGGTATCATTTATATAAATTTCTGAAAAATTAAAATATTCAAATATTGGTTTAATTTATTCAAACAAATGTGTTGGTGACATATTAATTTATAACTCATTGATACTGAAAATCTAATTGCTGATTTTAGTCATTAATACTCATTTTCTTATCAGATAGGTGACCACTGAGAAGACATGTCATTCTTTGAATTTATAGATGAAATACCTCAAAATGAAATAAAATTTAATGAATTCCTTGAATATAAATTATATTCATAATTTATAAATCTTTAACCGATTACATTATTTATTTTTATAAAGTTAATTCTGTTGTTAAGCATTGGATTGAATGTACTACATTTTAAGGTTCAGGATATATTAATAATGAGCTACATGATAATGAGCTATCTGAGAAGAAAATTTCTTTTTTGTATGCTTAAACAATTTTTAATGAATTTATTAAAAATCATTTAGGCAGATAACAAAGTACAAATTCCAATGATTAAACATGTCAATAAGCTAAGATTCTAAGTTCAGTAATATATAAAAAATCATGCCTTATAATTTGAGTGTACTTTAATTAATGAACAATCTTGTTAAAAGCTAATAAACTATACATAAAACTGCAAAAACAGTAAGAAATACATGATAAAATATAAAAATTTTAGACACAATAAAAATTACACTGAAATAATGTATTTTTTAACTTTCTGTCTTAAACATAGGAAAACAATAATTTTCTTAGTTTTTTTCCCCTAGATTGTTAAGATCTCTCTCTCTCTATTCAGATTAATGATTCCATTATCATTGAATACACTCTTAATCCTTGAGAAATTATAATTGAAAAATTGAGAAATTATAGCTCTATGTTTGAAAAAAGACCTACAATCTTTTCAAACTAACTAAAAGGATACAATTTCCTTCTTTTCATGCAATTTGATGCTTAACACATTATGTAATTCATATAGAATCCTTGACTATGTAAAAATTGCATTTTGGCTAGACAAAATAGCTTTACACATACAAAATAGAAAATATTGTACTTTTGTAGCACAAATTTTCTAAATATGCTGTACACGCTTGAATAGATCCACTGTGGATTTATTTTAAAAATTCGTTTGAGACTATTCAAATCTGTGGGTTTATTTTTTTAAAATTAAATTCTGTATGGTGTTGATGTGAGTGGCCACAGATGCCATTAATCGCAGACAAAAATAATATTTCTTAAAATGTAACACTAATGACAAAAAGTGTGATGCAACAATTTACACAATTACAACTTTGAATTAATTAATCATTAAAATAAAACAACAAACATACCGATGAGCCTGTTACCGGTGTGCTTCTCGGGAAAAAACAGATGCATCAACCATAAGGATAAAATCACCCTGTCAAAAGCATGGCAAGTGCTCTTAGATAAGAACTTACGATAATCTACAGCCATTAAAGCAGCACATGCCTGAATGACGTTATCGATATCCATGCAACAGAATTCTGAATGGTGTTCCAATTTGATTTTAATTTGAATCGTATTCGTCTAACAGTCATTAGTTACCTGAAGAAGAACTTCAAAGTTCGAAAATGTTTGTAATGATCTGTTTTTTCCAAGAAGCACACCGGTACATTTGTTGTTTTATTTTACCCTGTTGTAGTATCACTCTTGTTTAATCATTAAAATGTCCAATATACAATAATTCACCCACCCAAAATTCAAACTTTATTATTTGATTAGTTTAATCATAATTTTGTTAAGTTCAGCAAATTTTAGCACATTAAATTAACTCAGTTTTATTGTTGTTATTAATTTATACTAATCATCAAATTCAATAATCAATAATGAACAAATGATTTCTTAATTATTAACTTAATAAATTTGAAAAGTGTGTTATTAAAAAACTGTTAAACTAAAAATAATGAAACTTTAATTTCACTTTGTACATTCTCTGATTCTAAGAAAAACAGTGGGTGATCAGTTAACAAACAGATTGGATAATGAACAAATTGGATAACAAACACTTTCGCAAAAGATTTTTATGTTTGGACAACGAACACACGATTGGATAACAAGTACCCTACAGAACAAACACAAGAAGAAGCGATGTAAAATAATGAATACCGATTGGTCTTCTCTTGTCTTTGGGCAACAATTCGAAACTTTTCAAAGTGTGGGAGATGTCGACATCGACATTCAACCCGGTATATACCAATCGGATAGTATTCCTCTGCACTTTGAAACTCTCACTTGTAATTCCAGCCTTTTATTTTTGTGACAAAACAATTCTTTTATGTATTTGCGAGACTGTCGGGTAGGCACTCGTTAAGTTTTGCATCTGTTTTTCTTTTCAAAAGGTGAAAGTATAATAGCAAAGATACAGAGTAGGCAGAAAATGCCAAATGCTGCTGGGCAGTATGGTATGAACAGGTCTACAATAGGCCGCAGTTCAATCTTATTTAAGAAAAATATTGTATAATCAAGAAGACTCAAGCAGCTAAAGAAATAACAAAAATCACATCTGAGAAATAAAGAACATCGACAAGTTCATAATGGAACCTGAAATGGATCTGGCGACAGAAGAATGCCAAGAACTCTTGAATGAAGAACACCAAGAAACTCGGCGAGATATGTTTTCTTCTGAAAAAGAGGATTAATGCCGATATCTGCTATTAAAGATCCTTTGAAGTAGTGGGAGGATGTCAGAACAATGGTCTTAGAATGGTATCCAAATCAGGTTGAGGCTTGGGGATTTCTACAGTTGCAATGCTATTAATTACTTATGAAAAATCCTGAAGAAGAGAGAAAAGCAATCAATATTAGACAGATTCTTTAACTCTTTCAAACAGAAAAATCATGACTAATAAAAATGCAATACTGCATATATATGTATTTTTATTATTACATATACGTAGTAAGAAAGTATAATAAACGTAGTAAGAAAGTATATATTTTTTTATTTTTGGGGAGTCTCCAGAACGAATTAATTAAATTTCCATTAAAACCTATGGTAAATCAATAATCGGTTAACAAACAATTCGAATAGCGAACAAAGTCTTGGAACGGATTATGTTCGTTAACCGATCACCCACTGTACATAAAGAATAGTATATATTTATTTATTTCTCAATATTTATAATAATAAAATAAACTTACAGGCTCCATTGCAACTTCAATCTTATCCAATTCTTCTATAACCTTAAAACCAAATACCATTATTTAAAACAAATCAACTCAACTTAAATCTTACACACTACATGTCACATAATATTATATATATGTATATATATATAAATCACATTGATAATGATATTCTATGATTTTTTAAAATTACTGTATAGCATAAAATAATACATTAATAATTTATAATTTGCAAGAAATATAAATTTATGTTACAAAAAACTACTTACTTACTATGACTAATAATAATACAGGCTTATTACACATCCAGACTATTTAATTAATTTAACCAAAATGCATTTAAATAGGTTGGGTGTATAATAAGCCTGTTCATTAGTCATAGTAGCTAAATAGTTTTTTGTACACAAACAATACAGTCAAGAAGCTTTTTAATAAATTTATATGTATTTAAAGCATTAATAATTTGTAAAAATATTCACGCATTTACATTTCGAACAGCTGCTGCAACATCCCTATCGCCTTCATCAGTCATTAATACACGAACACAAGCTTCAAGTTCCTGCAACAGTGATCCATCTGTTGGTAATTTTATTTGAGCTTTTAATTGAGGTAAAACAGAGCACAACCTAAGTCGAACATTTGGAACTGGATCTTCTGATATTTCAAGTATAAAAATCTTTAAGTTTCGAGTAATAATTACTTTTAATAAAATCAGTATGTGTGAAAAATTAAAGACTAACCAGCTAATTTTAACAATGGACGAAAAAAATATTGCTTGAAAAAAGATTTTGAAAATAGTTCCATCACTAATTCACAAACACGTATAAATAACATTCTACTGTGGCAACTTCTTCCTTGACATAATTCTGTCAGAAAAACATTATTATATTAATAACTATACCATATTTATAAATATAAGTTACAGTCAAACCTTGGCTTATGAACTTAATTTTTTCCTAAAAGTTGTTTGGAAACCAATTTGTTCTCAAACCAAACAAATTTTCCCATAAGAAACAATGTAAGATGGATTAATCTGTTCCTGAACCACAAAACAATCTTTTTTTTACCCTTTTAGCTGTATTTAATGCATAAAAATGCCTACAAATGTAATATAATATTATCTATATCCATTTTATATACATATATTAAAAGAAAAATGTTTTGTCACTGCCAACCAAAACTAACACTTTACAAAGAAGTGTTATAAATAGACTTGACTCTGTCTGGATGAAATAACTAAATCAATGAAGACAGACAA